GGTCTGTTCTTGGTGGCATCAAAATTTTCCCTCCAGCTTTGTTTCGGCAGTTCTCATTGCAGTTTGACGAATGGCGCATCTTATTTTGTTTGTGAAATTTTAGGGTGATTCACAAATGGTTATTCATTTGATGACTTTGAGTGATTTGGCTCATGACGGGAGGAATTGGATGATATTCGCGTGATGCATGTCCTCCAAATATCTGTTGGTTTCTTATTGTTTTGTTCCTCGCTTCAATAGAGCTGTCAATCTTGTGACAAAAAGTCAGGTCGGATTGGCCGGTCAGACCGACAAGCAAACGTGCGGGACTAGGAACATTAAACTGACACCTACCTTTTTTGCTTTTTTCAATTAATAATTAAGAGTAATGTCTATTTTTTATTCAAATCTTTTTCAGATTCTTTTATATTATCAAAACCTATTAAGATGCTATTAATTAGTCAAATATTTCGTAATGCGTCAAAATATTAGTAATTTTTACGTTATAGTTAATACTTTTGTAACTATTTTGTTAATTAAAATACTAAAATTTTGCAAAGTTTACATTCATGTGCCTCTTTCAAGTCAGTATCATGCTCAAGTCAATATTATTAACAAAATTGCTAACTGAAAGTTACCATTTGGCTAATTCTTAGTATTTCGATATGTTTGGATAATATAAAACAATCTGAAAAAGATTTAGATAAAAAGTAGACATTACCCAATTATTAGAATATATAAAGGGTGAGTGTTGTATTAGGGGTTTGGTACGGTTAAGAGTTAAGACAGGTATATCATAACTACTGTGCACCTCCCCCTAATTATCCATGTTGTTTCCCCCTACGTAGATGGCTTGGCCGCTGGCCAAGTTTGGCTCTCGCACTGCCGACAACTTAGATATACCGGCAGCCACTTTCACTTGTGGCTACCCTCTTTTCTTTTGTGTTTCTTCTCCGCTCTACCCTCACTATTGCCCTCCCCTCCACCCATCGATTTCTCTTCATCGCTCTAGCCTAGAATATATAAAGGGATAGTATTGTATTAGGTGTCTGGGATGGTGTAGAAAGGTATATCGTAACTACCTAATTATCCATGTCGTTTCCTCCTACGTAGATGGCTTGGCCGCAGGACAAGTTTGGCTCTCCCACTGCCGATAATTTAAACATACCAGCAGTCACTTTCACTTGTGGCTACCCTATTTTCTTTTGAGTTTCTTCCCCTCCACCCATCGATTTCTCTTCCTCGCTCTCGCATTTACGCCTAGATATAGGGTAAGTATGCTTCTTCTTGCTGCTCAATTGATCAGCCTACAGGAGGAGAGGAAGAGAGAAATCCCATAGCTTATTTTTCTCACCCAATCATAAGAATTCTTATGTTTTAGAACTATGAATGATAACTTCCTTCTTTCACCCATTGCTTGAATCCGCATAGCTTAACTCCGGGACAAGTTACGATGATTACTATTTTATAGTAAGCACTAAAGGTGTCAAAACATAGTCTGACCCGACTAACCCGTCCGATTAATCCGACCCGCAACCCGACTGCAACCCGAATTGACTAAAAGTCAATGACCCGTAACCCGCCCGACCCATAACCTGATTGATCCGTAACCCGATTAACTCGTGACCCGATTAGCCCGCAACCCGATTAACCCGAATCCGATTAACCCGCAACCCGATTAAACCCGTAACCCGATGGACCCTAGCTCGATTGACCCAAACCTGACTAACCCGTAACCCGCCCGGTTGACCCGAATAAGACTATATATTATAGTCTTTCAAAATGAATTTTTTTGGTTGTAAGTGTAAGTAAAATTATTTTTTCATTTTGTAAAGGAAAGTTCAAAACATGAAATCGAGTTGAAATTATGTATTTTTAATAAAATTAAAAAATGAAGTTCACTAGACCATTAAGTTCTTTAAAAAAATTACAAAAAAAATATTAAATATTAAATCAGCATAATGCCAATATTAATAATATATAATTAACAATTGAGACGATGTATAACATATATACAGTAAAAGAAGTGATAAATTTTATTGTTTTCAACTTTTTGGGAAGAAAACGAAGAGGGAAATTTGGTGTTTCAATTTTCGGGGAAAGAAAAAGGAGAGTTTTGGTGCTTTTGATTTACGAAAAGAGAAAGAAGTGGAATTTTTCGTGTGTTTCAACTTTTTTAGAATAAAAAGAAGAGGAAAATTTGGTGATTACATTTTTTGAAAAAGAAAGAATGAGACTTTTTTTGCTTTGGTTATAATAAGAGAAAGAAGTGGGAAATTTTTGGCGTTTTCAACTTTTTGTGAAAAAAAGAGAAAGAAAATTTGGTACTTCAGGATTTGGGAAAAGAAAGAAGGGAGAGTTTTGGTGTTTTTTATTTATAGGAAGAGAAAGAGGTGAGAGATTTTTGTATTTTTTATTTATGGAAAAGAAAATAAGTGGGAAATGTTGTGTTTTCAATTTTTTTGAAGAGAAAAGGGAGGAAAAACTTATCACAATGTTACATGATGATTTAGGAGTCTAACATTTAGTGACTAAAACATTGTTTATAGCAAACCTTACTATAGCTCATAACAATTTTTGCATATGATGATTTAGGAATCTGACATTTAGTGAAGAAAAACACAAGAAAATATATTCAGATAGAGTCTCCAATGCAATTGCACAAACTCAAGAAAATACGAGTGATTGACGCACATATAATCAAACTATGATGCACTAGTGATGAAATCAAGGGGTGCTCATAAGTCAACTTAATTAATGATATGGATCACAAACCAACTTGATTAGCTACTCATTACATAGCTCCTAGATTGGCCTAATAAAATTCATATAACTCGTAGGTTGGTTAGATTACATATCTTTCAACCTATTGCTAATGGTATAACTATTAGTTTTGTTATACTACATATCTTACAACCTAGTCACTGTAGATTGGTGGTCTGGCCCGGCCATGTCAAATGGCAATGCGGACGTCTCAACAGGCACATAGTCAGGAGGAAAGGTCTTCTCCCATGTCGTGATTTTATATGAACCGTCCGCGAGCATGAAGCCCGGAGTGGAGGCGCTTGACGGTCCAGCAGATGCAGATGCAGGTGCAGGCGCCCTCTCTAAAGCAAAAACCGAACCAGGCGCACAACCGGGACGCGGGGTAAGCGACGCCCATGCCTAAATGTTGAAAGACAAAAGGAAAACCAGAGAGAAAGAATAAGCCAAGAGAACCGCTTACCAGACTGGGAAGGGCGATTAGGAGCGCCGCCTGCACCAGAAGCCTTATCTTGGGGAGATGCCATGTGCTCGCGCGAAGAGAAGTGAAGACGTTAGCGGCATGGATGGAGTTAGAGAGAAGTCAGAGCGGATTGTGGAAAGTTACAAGGCTAAGGAGGTTGAGAGTATTTAAAGGGAGGAAGGGCGCATCGGAGCCCACGCCACCAGCCACGTGTCAGCATCACGGGCGGGCTTGTGAGCTTCCCCCTTTTTTTTTTGAACTTCAAAATTCCAATTTTGAGTTTAAAATAATATTTTAAGTCCAACTTCAAACCCCGCCCGTGAGGGGGGTGCAAGGGGAGCACTCACCCAAGTAGATGCTAGAACAGTGCGCGAGGGGTCGGGGCGCCTCCCAATCTTAACCACGCAAAAAGGCGCCTGCAAATTAATGTGAGCGGAGCAGATCAGTCAAAGCGTTGGGCGCCCTCGAGAGGGGGGCACGAACTTGAGAAGGTTTGATCTTGTAAGTAGACGCCCGGGCGAGAGACAAATGGCGGAAGATAACGACGAGCTTAGGCGCTAGAAAACTAGACACGGATGGGATAACCAGGCGCCCACCGATAGGCCATGACATGAGCAAGGGGCACCAGGCCAAGGGGATTAGTTAGGCACTCAAGTAAGGGGCCATGAGTGCCTAACTGGGGGCAATTGTTGGGGGTACCACTAGGAGGGCCCAAAGAAAGGCCCATTGAGTCAAGAATAGGCTCAAACAATTACCCAGCAGTAGAAGCCCATGAATGAGCCCACGAAGCTCATTCCATACAAGGTGAAAGGCGTAAGGACAAAACGCTAAAGGCCAAGGAAGTCTAGACTGTCAAGTGGTCCCTCGCCTGCAGGCGCCTAACAGTCGTCAGAAGCCTGACAAGGTGGTTGAGGCATCTGACCAAAATGAAGGTACAAGGCATTAAATGTGGTGATGACGTGGAGGAGATCAACCTCGAGTTAGGTGAGTATAAATAGAGGCAGTTGGTAGCATTTACACTGGTTGGACTCTCTCACTAAACTCATTCTCTACGCACTTCTCTCTCTAGAAGGGAACTAACTTGACCGTTAGAGGGTTAACGGGCCCGGGCGCCCCCCTTTGTGTTCATGTGTGTAGGCAGACACCTAGCATCAAGGGAGCGGGTACGGTGACGAGGCGACGAGGCTTAAACACCAATAAATCCATGATTAAAATGAGTGAACAAACAAAGATTTTTTCCAAATCCACAATGCCCCAAATCCCAAATAAAACCATAGGTTTTTAAATCCCACAATATAGGAAAAAACCTCATTTTCAAATCTTGAAGCAGGACCCCTAAGTACAAAATCTTGATCAAAATCTCAAGAATAAGCGACCACTACATATTGATCAATTATTTTATCCAAATGACAATGACTTGAAACTCATGATAAATGTAAACACAGTAACCTCCGAGCGTGTAAAACCGGATATAATGTACTTCGGTGCAATAGGACAACTTAGACGTCCAATAAGAAATCGGCAACCTTTGGTGGATATAAACAAGTAGTTTTTCTGCCAGCCGATGCAAAAAGAAAAAAAGGATTGTTAACGTCTTAACGATAACCAGACAAAAGATTCTCAGTCACCTTTCCACACTATTTTTGACTCGTTGCTCACTTTCTTCCTTCCTAAATCGTCACTCACACCAGTCGAACTCTTCTATATCAGAAATCCATCAGCTTCAACCTTCTTCTTATCATCTTCTTTCTGGCAAATCTCCTCTGATTTTTCCTATCCATGGCGTCGTTTTCTCTTGCCTCCAAGCTCCCCTTCCTTCGCTCCGACCATCCGGACGGCTTACTCGGAAAGTCGGCCGTTTTCTGCTGCTGCGAAGGTAGTTTATAGTGGTCCTTCTTCCAAGTTCTTCAACTTGAACTGCGAGGTCAACTTTGATTCTTTCACATCTTACTGCGACGCACGATTCTCCGCGAGCAATGTTCCACGCGCCACCGCAGAGATAGTGGTGGATAGCGCGACAGAAAAGGGGGAAGGGAGTGGGGGGAGGGTTCTCGGATTTGGACTGGTATGCGGCGGTCCATCTACAGAGCGTGGGATTTCTCTCAACTCTGTTAGATAATTTCTTGATCACATACAGGTAATTTTTTTTGAATATGCCCACCATGTGTTTGAAACTTTGTGTCAATCACTTGCTGGGAAAGAAAGTCTGTTATGTTACTATGAACTGTTCTTCTTACCCACCATCTGTTCGACAAGGAGATGATCTGCAAGTGAATTGCTACTACATTGACTGTGACCTCAATGCGTTTGCTATAGCCCCTGCCCAGGTTTGTTTCTTCTTATTCTTATTCTTCTTCTTCTTATTCTTCTTCTTCTTCTTCTTCTTCTTCTTCTTCTTCTTCTTCTTCTTCTTCTTCTTCTTCTTCTTCTTCTTCTTCTTCTTATAGAAGCTACATTTCTAGATTCGTATGATTCCTATGCATCGTGTCAATGGTTATAGATTGACAGTCAATTTGCTACTTTCACGATGGCACGACTGTACTTATGATGATGAATACAACTGTTGAATCTAATTTTGTCCTTACTCTCCAGGTATACTCAAACACACCAGCCGATTTCGACTTTAAGCTTGAAAGGTGAGAACTTTACTGTTGCTCATGATATCTTCTTTCATTCAGTTCTTGGATAGCTGCAGGAAACTTAAAGCTGCTTAAATTGTCCTGCTTTTACAGCCTTGCCCAGCGTTTTCCGTCCTTGTCTGAATTCGCAGAGCACCTTGCTGCATCTGTTGACATAGTATTCCCAGTTATTCATGGTCAGTTTGGCGAAGATGGTGGCATACAGGTTTAGCAAATAATGATATCCTTTTGTCAGTATCGCACCATAGCAGATTATGGCTTATAAGACTATAATTTTTATTTGGTTTGCTGTTTGAATGACTCAGGAATTGCTAGAGAAATACAATATTCCTTTTGTTGGCATAGGATCAAGTGAGTGTCGTCGTGCATTCGACAAGGTATAGAGAATCTGCAATATCTTTCAAATCTCAAGGCTTCTAATACATTGTGATGTGAGGATATGAGGGATATGGGTATCTGCTGAAGCATAAGCAAAATTGTTAGCGTACATAGGAAACTTATTAAGCTGGTTGAGTTCAGAGATTGCATATTCAATGTCAAATCATTTAGAATTTTTCGAGGTGTATTATTCTATGTTTCAAGCTTTTGTAACATGTTCTTACAACTTATCCTTTGAATTATTGGCAGTATGAAGCCTCCTTGGAACTCAGAAAACAAGAGTTTGTTACGGTACCAAACATTTTAGTTCAGGTATTGCTCTAAACTTGCTAAAATTGAGTGTGTCCTTTGCTCCATCACGATTTAATACTGGTGCTTGAATCTGAATTGGCAATTAGGGAAGTGAACCCAAAGAATCTGAAGTAGGTAAATGGTTCACAAGAAACCAGCTGGACACCAAATCAGGGAAAGTAGTGGTAAGGCAGGCTTCACTCATGTTGGCTTAACCAGAGCGGAACCCATGTTTCCAGGTTGCTAAAGCCCAAACTATTCCCATATTGCAGGTGAAGCCAGTCAGAGCAGGATCAAGCATTGGTGTTACAGTTGCTTATGGAGTTGCCGATGCATTGAAGAAGGCAAAGGATATAAAATTAGAGGTAACCTGAACTTTATATCGTAATGGCTAAGCATCTTCGAAAGAAGCGAGGCATGATGCTTATCTAACACAGTCACATGCTTGTTGGAACATTTGAAAGGGTATTGACGAGCAAGTCATAGTAGAAATATTTCTCGAAGGAGGAAGTGAATTCACTGCCATTATCCTTGATGTGGGCTCCGGAATTCACTGCCATTATTTCTCGAAGGAGGAAGTGAATTCACTGCCATTGTTCTAATCCCATATGAGGTACTATTCTTGTGTTTGTCTCATCCAAATTTTTTCCAAACCATAATTGGACGGGGTTGACGTAATGCTTCTTTCTTCTGCTGATATTACCGGTATTTAATCATGAACTATCTGCTGAACCTCTTTTTTTGTCAGGTGGAGCTTCATTTTAATGAAGACGATGCAATCTTCAATTACAGAAGGAAGTACCTTCCAACTCGACAGGTTAAGCTGCGAAATGTTGAAGCTTTTTCTTGATACAAAATTGTTTGTGGAGCACTCACCCTCAAGTCTCTTACTTCTTCCGCAGGTAGCTATCACACTCCCCCTCGTTTTCCCATTGAGGTAACAAGAACTATCCGTGAGGGAGCATATTGGCTTTTTAGACAACTTGGCCTTCGTGATTTTGCTCGAATTGATGGCTGGTTTCTGCCATCATCCACAAACTCGTTATTTGGCACAGTAGATGGGAAGTTTGGAAGGTCTGATATGGGAACAGTACTGTTTACATACATTAATTTGGTCAGTAGTTTCCTCTAGATTTTTCCACTGACACTGCCATTAGCTCTTCTGGATACGCCAAATTGAATTTTGTTTAATTTTTAGATTACTGGAATGGAGCAGACAAGCTTCTTATTTCAACAAGCTTCAAAGGTTGGATTCTCTCATTCGAACATCCTGAGGAGTATCGTTCACCATGCATGCTCAAGGTTTCCCAATCTTGAATCATACGTCGATATTTCCAGTCATTTGCCAAGAAGATCAAATTCCAAACTGCTCACTGAAGACTCGGACTAAAACAACGGCATTCATAAAGTTTTTGTCATTTTTGGAGGAAATTCATCAGAGCGTCAAGTGTCTGTAATAAGTGGAACAAACGTTTGGCTTAACTTGCAAGGCTTTGATGATGTTAGTTCCAATAAATGATGTCTATAAATTGGGTACTCTTTGTGCTAGTTGACCAATGTCTAACATTTTCGAGATTTTCTTCCCCACTACAGCTTGAAGTTATTCCTTGTCTGCTTGCACCCTCAGATGGCCGGTCTTCTAATGCTGGATCACAGACAGTTTGGTCATTGCCGTGAGTAGAGATCTTAAAAGCACTTGGTGTCTTGTTTTGGAAAGTTGTTGCTAGTACTATGCATATGAACTTACAACACGCCTCTTTTTGCTACAATTATTCTCTTGTCCTGAGACACAACGTAGAAGAAGTTCTTGATGCTTGCACTGAAGCAACTGACCCATCTAGGGCTTCATTAACATCTCAGTTGCGCAAGCAAGTGATGGGTGATTTGATGGAAGGACTTGAGAAGCACCGCTGGTTTAATGGGTTTGATGTTACTGATGAAAAACCTGTAAAGTTCTCTCTTCAGGATTGGATTAAGCATGCCAAAGAAGTGCAAGCAACGGTATTCCTTACAGGTCCGTGTTTTCTGGGCCATGTATACTGGTTTTTTTTTGCTTGAAAATGTTCCTGAAGCTTGTAATGCACAATTCCTAGTTCACGGAGACTTTGGTGAAGATGGTACACTTCAATCCTTGAGGCTGCTGCAAGCCGAAGGAGTTCCATATACAGGTATACCCTTATTACCCTGGACCAGGAAATTGCATTTCTTATGATAGTAAGTAATTCATTAACATTTCCTTTGGCTACATGAATTAAGGTCATGGGATACTGGCATCAAAGATTTGTATGGATAAAGTGGCTACATCTTTGGCTGTTAGTCATGTATGGTAACAAACCAAGTTTTGTAAGTTGTTTCGAAACACTTCTATGCTTATTCTGGAGTCTCATATGCTCTACAACTTAACAGCTTTCCGATGTTGGAGTTCTCACCATAAACAAAGACGTGAGAACAAAAGAAGAATTACGGAAGAATCCCTCATTGAAGATTTGGAATGAGCTGACCTCAAAGCTTCAGTGTGGAACATTGTGTGTCAAACCAGCAAGAGATGGATGCTCAACTGGCGTGGCAAGAATCCGGTGCATTTCTCAACCACTTGTCATTGTTTCTATTTGTATTTTCGATGCTTCAAATAAGTATACATCGGTTCATTTATTTTCTTCTGCAGTTGTTCTGAGGACCTTACAGTTTATGTAGCAGCATTGGAAGAACGTCTCCCACGGATTCCACCCAACAGTTTTTCAAATGTAATATACCGAACAACTGCAACTTATTTTACTTCCATTTGTTCACTAATAAGTAATATTTTGCTTACATATGGAGCGTTTTAGGCACATGGACCGATTGAAATGCCAAATCCTCCTCCAGAGAAGTTGATCTTTGAGCCCTTTATCGAGATGGATGGAATCATTGTCTCTTCTAAGTCCGCAGACGGGCTATTGTGGGAAGGAGAGAGCCGATGGGTGGAAATAAAAGTTGGTGTAGTGGGGAAACGTGGTTGCATGCAGTCACTTTGTCCGAGCATTACTGTCAAGGAAGGTGGTGATATTTTATCACTGGAAGAGAAGTTTCAGGGTACGAATTTTGTTTGCCGGAGAAGTTTACTGATGAGGACATCAACGAGGCTCGACTTATATCATTTACCATGTGTTCATTCTCTTGAGGTAGCTTATAACATTATGATTTGTCTCTGTAGGTGGAACCGACATTAATCTTACTCCTCCACCACCATCGATTGTCAGGTATGTTAGTTATTGAAACAGCGTCAAGTTCTTGTGCGAGCTCTGTCTGTGGCGTAGCTTTTCATAAACCCTTGTGTCTCTCTGCCTGCTGTTTGCTTTAGTGAGGAAGCATTGGAGAAATGTAAGCAGCGCATTGAGCTGGTAGCAAACACACTGGAGTTGGAGGGGTTTTCCAGAATTGATGCCTTTCTTAACGTTGACAGTGGAGAGGTACCCATTTCTAAACTGTGAAAAAAAAAAACCAGATGATAAAGGAGCGAACTTTCCTGACTGGTTGATATGAATTGATTGCAGGTGTTGGTTATAGAGGTGAACACTGTGCCTGGTGTAGACACCACTTTTTGTCCAGGTTAAAACATATCTAATTAAATAGATTTTAGTTTTTGTTTAAGGTTGGCAATACCAACCCTAAACAATCTGCTAACTAAACTGTATTCGTGGTGCTTGAGATGATTCGTGTTTGTTTTACCTCGATCAGATTAGCAATAGCAAATCTCGATTAATATGGACAAGTTGATGTTTAAAACATTTGGGTTGGTTGCCTTGTTTTAACTTGGTTAAAATAATCACGCAATTGCTTAATCTCGTGGACATGATTTGATGTTGGACTTGGGCATCGATTTAGGAATAATGAAATAGGAAGAGAAAGTCAAATAGAAATATCAATTTATTAACATAAACTTCAATTTCTAAATAACAATCATAACTATGATTAGCAAATAATTACACCATTCATTAAACAAAGATTACAAGTGTGATTACATTTGACAAAATTAAAAAAAGAGCCCAAAGCCTAAACCCAAGTATGTTCTGGTAACAGCCCAAATTCAAATCCCAGCCAAGTCAATAGAAGTCCAGGTCCAACCCAACTAAAATTCATACCAGTCAACTTGGCCCAACCGGCCGAACCACATACCCAAGAACCAAACCGGTCGAATCGAACTGGTCCGACCCGAACCAGCCCATGGCTGACCTAATTTTTTTCTATAAAAAGAGCCTCTTGCTCTTTGTTTTGAGGGGCGGCACATCTTGTCAGCTCTCCACTTCCCCTTTCCTGATCCACAGAGCAAAAAGCTGGCAAAAACATAATTGATCTTCTTCTTTTCATCCTCTGATACGAGAAAACCCAGCCACTTTCTTCTTCCTCTTTTCTTTCGTTTTTGTTTACAACACAGACAGATTGAGAGATAGAACTGAAACACAAGACTCTTTTCTTTCCTTTTTCCGACGGAGAGAGACTGACGGGGATATCAATAGGGGAAAACATAAGAAATAGGGATTTCATCTTTCTTTGCTTCTGGTACAAAAAACACACGCAGAAGGAAGTTGACAGAAGCAGACGGCAGAAAGAAGCTAAAAGCCATCAACAACAGACCACTCGTCATAAAAACCAGGCGAGCTTTATTTCCTACTCTAAACATCCATTCCATTCATACTTATGTCATATACCCATCTCATTTTCAATCCTCTGTTTTAAAGTGTTTATTTTAGGATCCATAGCTCATATGCCCATAGACATGGCTAAAGCTCTAAATTATGTTTAGAGGTGACAATTGGATCGGATTCGTGGACTCGTGGATTGGATTGGTGAATCCATGGATCAAATGGATTGGATCCAATGAATTGGTGGATTCATGGATTGGATCAAATGGATTGGTGGATTGATCCATGATCCAAATGACATCCAAGGATTGGACCAAAATGTAAAATTTGAAAAGTTTTGGTACTAAAATATCATAATGAAAAATTTTAGGTACCAAAATGTAATTTTCAATGATATTTTTCGTATAAAAATATAAATTTTAGGTATCAAAATGTAAAATATAAAAAATATAGGTACCAAATCGTAATTTGTCATTTGGATCCATGGATTGATCCATGAATCCACCAATCCAATTGGATTTGGATCAAATGGATTGAATTAGATGGATAATTTGGTGGATGGATTGGATTGGATTGGATTCATAGATTTGGATCCTAATTGCCACCTCTAATTATGTTCTTTTCCTTCTTAATCTTTAACCCTTTTTATGTATTTTTCTTTAAGCTGACTTCAACAACTCTCTATCAAGATTATCTAACCAAGCTAATCAGTTTCCATATTACACATACGCCATATACTTCATTACCACAAACCATTACCATAAACTGATTTTCAGTATTCAAACTAATCTCAAAGTCCAGGACATTCAAACCCACACAATGAAAACACAATACAAGACTTCTTAATCACAAGCAATATCAGTGGTTTGTCATTTAACATCTAACTTTTATACTTTTGATTTTTTTGATTTTCTTTGTTTCAACCATGTTTTTGAAACCTTAAAAGAAATTTTCTGTTTTGAGGGTTCAAGACCATCATAGCCAATCAAGTTTTCTCCTAACTGACAAAACAAAGTCATATAAGTTGAATCTAGGATTTGAAAGGAGCATCGCCCTTCCCAATTTTCAAACCAAAATCACCATTAACATACATATATTTCCAGTCTCAAACCCAGATTTCACCCATCACAAAACTCAAAGAACTGAATTTGACACTGAAACAACTTAAGACAAAGTAATCACAAACAATAGCAGTGTTTACGGTCATTAAAAGTTTACTTTCCACTTTGTTTGTTTAGACAAGTTCTGGAACTTGAACCGAAAAACTTTGTTTTATTGTGTTTCCAAATCCCGCACCCGGCTCTAAAATACAATTTTTAGTGTCAGAACCATCACAACACAAAACCCAAATAAGAACCCTTAACAACTAAAAAACCATAAGCCAACATCACACACAAATTTCCTGATTCTATCATTCCAAAATAGAAGCAAAAAAAAAAAAAAAATACTAAAAACTAAAAACAAAACCTACCTGATCCACCGCTTTGTTCCTCTGTTGTGTGGCCACTGGCGAGAGTTGCTCCCCCTCCGCCGCCGGCGATGCTTAGGCCACCGCCGCTGTTTACTCCTTTCCTCCTCACGGTCAAACCAAAAAAAAAAAAAAACAAACATATCACCATTCAAACCTTTTTTTCAATCAAAACCGACAACAAGCACAGAAAGCAGAGAAACTTACCCGAACGCCGCCGCCTGCCTTCTTCACCCTCCCGTTCTCGCAACTTCCGCCTCTTTTCCCTTATCTGAATAACAAAAAAACCCAGAAAAGCAATAAGAAAACCTAAAATCCCTTCGAAAACAACTTTACTCCTCCTAAACCCGACATGCACGCCAGAATATCCCCTCTTACCTTCGTCGTGACCGTCATCATCGTCGCTGTTGTCAATCGCCGTTGTTTCTCGCCATCGCTGTCGACTCCACTTTTTTTTTTATAATGGTGATTGAATTAAATAAAGGAAAAGAGTACAAGAGCAAAGGTTCAAGAGAGCTGAACCAAAAGAAACAAAAGGGAAAAGAAAGAAAAAGGAAAAAGCACAGCCAACAGTACAAAGAAGAAGTAAATCAAAAGAAAGAAGAAGGGAACGACCTCAACAGACTACACTTCTGTTCACAGTGGGGAAATCACATACGCGATAGCATTCCAGAAGCCAAATGGAGGACGTATTCTTGTCGACCTTGTGATGAGCAGAGATCCAGGATATGACCATTTTAGTTGCTTGTATAGCGATAACTCTGGCGGTTGCTTTAGTATCTTTGAAGATGCGTTGATTTCGGTGTAACCAAATAGACTAGATTGTGGCATGGAGAATGCAGTAATCGAACCAATCGTTGATGTTGGCAGGGGTATTTGAAGGTCTGTTGCTGATGATTGTGGATATGTCGCCTTCGAGATGTCCGATAGAAGAAGATCCTCTTTTGATTGTGTTCCAAACGTCTTTGAAGAACTCGCAGTTGACGAAAAGGTGATTAGCATTTTCCTCCTCGTGATAACACAGACTGCAACGGTTGGGAAGAGCGAATCCCCTCCTCTTGAGAACATCCAAAGTATTAATTTTCTTATGCCATAATGTCCAGATGAAGAAACAGATTTTGCTTGGGATGACTGGTTTCCAGACTGCAGCAGCTTCAAAATTGGGCACACCGTGGAATTTCTCCTGAGTCATGCTTCTGAACAAAGATTTAACAGAAAAACCATGATCTGGATTCGGAATCCAGATGATCCTACAAGGACTGTTAGCAGTATAAACAAAATCTCTATTATGTAATAGATTCATAAGCCTCACCCTCTCACTCTCTGCACCACCTCTCAGATTGATGTTCAAATTTAAATTCCAACTGACCTCATTGTTTGTGAAGGAGATCAAATCGCTGATCCGAGCAGCAGGATTGAAAGTGGCAGCAGCAACTCTCGGGTAGCCCTTAGCAAGAGAAGAATCCGAAATCCACTTATCATGCCAAAAAGAAACATGTCCACCACCTCCAGGATCGATCTGAGCATATTTCCAGAAAGATGGGTACTCCTTGGAGATGTTAGCCCACGTCGAACTCGAGAAGCCGTGTCTGACCTTGTCTGTTTGCCATTGGGAGAGATTGTTAGGGTATTTGATGTTGATCAATTCTCTCCACCAGTTGTTCTTCTCAGTAGCGAATTTCCACAACCACTTTGCCAAGAGGGCCGAGTTGAAAGAGGCAAGATCACATAAGCCAAGACCTCTTTTCGATTTTGTTGTTTTACATATATTCCAGTTCACAAGAGGAGATTTCCGATCGTCGCTGTTCCTGTTCCAAATGAAGTTTCTCTGGATTGTCTCCAACTCTCTGATGGTTTTCATAGGGGCCTTGAAGAGGGAGAAGTAGTAAACTGATAAACTGTTGAGAACAACTTTGTTAAGAGTAAGCCTTCCACCAGTAGAAAGGTAATTGCTCTTCCAGCCATCAAGTCTTTTATGGAAGTTTGCAACAATTGGGTCCCAAATAGAGCAGGCATTCGGTTTAGCTCCGAGGGGGAATCCAAGATACTTGGGCGGGCTTGAGCTCCATTTACATCCAAATATAGCAGCGAAGAAACCCGGTTCAGGAACATCTCCAATTGTATACATAATAGACTTCTCGAGATTGATTTTAAGTGCAGTCACAGCTTGGAAACATACCAATGTGGAGAGGATATTGAGAATCTGTTCATGCGAGACGTCACAAAAGATAAGAGTGTCGTCCGCAAATAGGAGATGAGTAACCTCTCCACGTTGCTGAGATTCATCCATGAAGAAACCATTAATCATACCAGCTGATTTGAGCTTAGAGATCATGAAGGAAAGAATATCCATTACGAGAATGAAGAGAGCAGAGGAGATGGGGTCACCCTGACGAACTCCACTTTCTTCCTTCCTTCTCGTCATTACCAGAAAGGGAGAGAGGAGAGAGAGCAGGTCGGCGCTAGGGAAGAACAGTGGCCGATTGAGATAATTATGGATTAGAGAAGAGAGAGAGAGAGAGAGACGGAATGGATTGGCTCTGTTTTCTTCCTTTTTCGGACAGAAATTAGAGAAGAACGAGAGAGAAGAGGTGAAGTGAGTGTGAGCGGCTGAAAAATGAAGAGAATGCATAGGTTTTGATTCTCAAACTCGTTGTCCGAAAATGTCGATTCTGCCCCTAGTCTTTCACAAATTACATCCAGGACCTCTCGCTTGCAACTTGACTCCAGTCAACACACTTAGCCACTAAACTACCTAATATTATTATTACTTTGAAATCTCAAACTCATTTTATTTCATTCCAAACTCAAGCTCAATACGTAATAGATTAGAGGTTTTGGAATCATCGGCTCAGTCCAATGCCGATCACCTCATACACGAGGCGACGAGGCTCAAACACCAATAAATCCATGATTAAAACGAGTGAACAAACAAAGGCTTTTTCCAAATCCACAATGTCCCAAATCCCAAATAAAACCTTAGGTTTTTAAAACCCACACTATAGGAAAAAACCTCATTTTCAAATCTTGAAGCAGGACCCCTAAGTATAAAATCTTGATCAAAATCTCAAGAGTAAACGACCACTACATATTGATCAATTATTTTATCCAAATGACAATGACTTGAAACTCACCATAAATGCAAACACAGTAACCTCCGAGCGTGCAAAATCGGATATAATGTACTTTGGTGCAATAGGACAACTTAGACGTCCAATAAGAAACCGGCAACCTTTTGGTGGATATAAACAAGTAGTTTTTCTGCCGGGCGATGCCAACAAAAAATGATTGTTAACGTCTTAACGATAACCAGACAAAAGATGCTCAATCACTTTTCCACACTATTTTCGACTCGTTGCTCGCTTTCTTCCTTCCTAAATTGTCACTCACACCTTATGAACTCTTCTATATAAGAAATCCATCAGCTTCAACCTTCTTCCTATCATCTTCTTTCAGGCAAATCTCCTCTGATTTTTCCTATCCATGGCGTCGTTTTCTCTTGCCTCCAAGCTCCCCTTACTTCGCTCCGACCATCCGGACGGCTTACTCGGAAGTCGGCCGTTTTCTGCTACTGCGAAGGCAATTTATAGTGGTCCTTCTTCCAAGTTCTTCAACTTGAACCGCGAGGTCAACTTTGGTTCTTTCACATCTTACTGCGACGCGCGATTCTTCGCGAGCAATGTTCCATGCGCCACCGCAGAGATAGTAGTGGATAGCGCGACAGAAAAGGGGGAAGGGAGTGGGGGGAGGGTTCTCAGAGTTGGATTGGTATGCGGAGGTCCATCTGCAGAGCGTGGGATTTCTCTCAACTCTGTTAGATCAGTTCTTGATCACATACAGGTAATTTTTTTGAATATGTCCACCATGTGTTTGAAACTTTGTATCAATCACTTGCTGGGAAAGAAAGTCCGTTATGTTACTATGAACTGTTCTTCTTACCCACCATCTGTTCGACAGGGAGATGATCTGCAAGTGAATTGCTACTATATTGACTGTGAACTCAATGCGTTTGCTATAGCCCCTGCCCAGGTTTGTTTCTTATTCTTCTTCTTCTTCTTTTTATAGAAGCTACATTTCTAGATTCATATGATTCCTATGCATCGTGTCAACGGTTATAGATTGACAGTCAATTTGCTACTTTCACGATGGCACGGCTGTACTTATGATGATGAATACAACTGTTGAATATAATTTTGTCCTTACTCTCCAGGTATACTCAAACACACCAGCCGATTTCGACTTTAAGCTTGAAAGGTGAGAACTTTACTGTTGCTCATGATATATTCTTTCATTCAGTTCTTGGATAGCTGCAGGAAACTTAAAGCTGCATAAATTATCCTGCTTTTACAGCCTTGCCCAGCGTTTTCCGTCTCTGTCTGAATTCGCAGAGCACCTTGCTGCAACTGTTGACATAGTATTCCCAGTTATTCATGGTCAGTTTGGCGAAGATGGTGGCATACAGGTTTAGCAAATAATGATATCCTTTTGTCAGTATCGCACCAAAGCAGATTATGGCTTATAAGACTATAAATTTTATTTGGGTTGCTGTTTGAATGACTCAGGAATTGCTGGAGAAATACAATATTCCTTTTGTTGGCACAGGATCAAGTGAGTGTCGTCGTGCATTCGACAAGGTATAGGGAATCTGCAATATCTTTCAATTCTCAAGGCTTCTAATACATTGTGATGTGAGGATATGAGGGATATGAGTATCTGTTGAAGCATAAGCAAAATTGTTAGCCTACATAGGAAACTTATTAAGTTGGTTGAGTTCAGAGATTGCATATTCAATGCCAAATCATTCAGAATTTTTTGAGGTGTATTATTCTATGTTTCAAGCTTTTGTCACATGTTCTTACAACTTATCCTTTGAATTATTGGCAGTATGAAGCCTCCTTGGAACTCAGAAAACAAGGGTTTGTTACGGTACCAAACATTTTAGTTCAGGTATTGCTCTAAACTTGCTGAAATTCAGTGTGTCCTTTGCTCCATCACAATTTAATACTGTTGCTTGAATCTGAATTGGCAATTAGGGAAGTGATCCCAAAGAATCTGAAGTAGCTAAATGGTTCACAAGCAACCAGCTGGACACCAAATCAGGGAAAGTAGTGGTAAGGCAGGCTTCACTCATGTTGGCTTAACCAGAGCGGAACCCATGTTTCCAGGTTGATAAAGCCCAAACTATTCCCATATTGCAGGTGAAGCCAGTCAGAGCAGGATCAAGCATTGGTGTTACAGTTGCTTATGGCATTGCCGATGCATTGAAGAAGGCAAAGGATATCAAATTAGAGGTAACCTGAACTTTATCTCGTAATGGCTAAGCATCTTCGCAAGAAGCGAGGCATGATGCTTATCTAACACAGTCACATGCTTGTTGGAACATTTGAAAGGGTATTGACGAGCAAGTCATAGTAGAAATATTTCTCGAAGGAGGAAGTGAATTCACTGCCATTATCCTTGATGTGGGCTCCGGAACTGATTGTCAACCTATTGTTCTAATCCCATCTGAGGTACTATTCTTGTGTTTGTCTCATCCAAATTTTTTCCAAACCATAATTGGACGGGGTTGACGTAATGCTTCTTTCTTCTGCTGAGATTAACAGTATTTAATCATGAACTATCTGCTGAACCTATTTTTTTGTTAGGTGGAGCTTCATTTTAATGAAGACGATGCAATCTTCAATTACAGAAGGAAGTACCTTCCAACTCGACAGGTTAAGTTGCGAAATGTTGAAGCTTTTTCTTGATACAAAATTGTTTTTGGAGCACTCACCCTCAAGTCTCTTACTTCTTCCGCAGGTAGCTTATCACACTCCCCCTCGTTTTCCCATTGAGGTAACAAGAACTATCCGTGAGGGAGCATCTTGGCTTTTTAGACATCTTGGCCTTCGTGATTTTGCTCGAATTGATGGCTGGTTTCTGCCATCATCCACAAACTCATTCTTTGGCACATCAGATGGGAAGTTTGGAAGGTCTGATATGGGAACAGTACTGTTTACAGACATTAATCTGGTCAGTAGTTTCCTCTAGATTTTTCCACTGACACTGCCATTAGCTCTTCTGGATACGCCAAATTGAATTTTGTTTAATTTTTAGATTAGTGGAATGGAGCAGACAAGTTTCTTATTTCAGCAAGCTTCAAAGGTTGGATTCTCTCATTCGAACATCTTGAGGAGCATCGTTCACCATGCATGCTCAAGGTTTCCCAATCTTGAATCATACGTCGATATTTCCAGTCATTTGCCAAGAAGATCAAATTCCAAACTGCTCACTGAAGACTCGGACCAAAACAAAGGCATTCGTAAAGTTTTTGTCATTTTTGGAGGAAATTCATCAGAGCGTCAAGTGTCTGTAATAAGTGGAACAAACGTTTGGCTTAACTTGCAAGGCTTTGATGATGTTAGTTCCAATAAATGATGGCTATAAATTGGGTACTCTTTGTGCTAGTTGACCAATGTCTAACATTTTTCAGATTTTCTTCCCCACTACAGCTTGAAGTTATTCCTTGCCTGCTTGCACCCTCAGATGGCCGGTCTTCTAATGCTGGATCACGGACAGTTTGGTCATTGCCGTGAGTAGAGATCTTAAAAGCACTTGGTGTCTTGTTTTGGAAAGATGTTGCTAGTACTATGCATATGAACTTACAACACACCTCTTTTTGCTACAGTTATTCTCTTGTCCTCAGACACACCGTAGAAGAAGTTCTTCATGCTTGCACTGAAGCAACTGACCCATCTAGGGCTTCATTAACATCTCAGTTGCGCAAGCAAGTGATGGGTGATTTGACGGAAGGACTTGAGAAGCACCGCTGGTTTAATGGGTTTGATATTACTGATGAAAAACCTGTAAAGTTCTCGCTTCAGGATTGGATTAAGCATGCCAAAGAAGTGCAAGCAACGGTATTCCTTACAGGTCCGTGTTTTCTGGGCCATGTATACTGGGTTTTTTTTTGCTTGAAAATGTTCCTGAAGCTTGTAATGCACAATTCCTAGTTCACGGAGACATTGGTGAAGATGGTACACTTCAATCCTTGCTGCAAGCAGAAGGAGTTCCATATACAGGTATACCCTTATTAACCTGGACCAGCAAATTACATTTCTTATGATAGTAAGTAATTCATTGACATTTCCTTTGGCTACATGAATTAAGGTCCTGGGATACTGGCATCAAAGATTTGTATGGATAAAGTGGCTACATCTTTGGCTGTTAGTCATGTATGGTAACAAACCAAGTTTTGTAAGTTGCTTCGAAACACTTCTATGCTTATTCTGGAGTCTCATATGCTCTACAACTTAATAGCTTTCCGATGTTGGAGTTCTCACCATAAACAAAGACGTGAGAACAAAAGAAGAATTACTGAAGAATCCCTCACTGAAGATTTGGAATGAGCTGACCTCAAAGCTTCAGTGTGGAACATTGTGTGTCAAACCAGCAAGAGATGGATGCTCAACTGGCGTGGCAAGAATCCGGTGCATTTCTCAACCACTTATCATTGTTTCTATTTGTATTTTCGATGCTTCAAATAAGTATACGACGGTTCATTTATTTTCTTCTGCAGTTGTTCTGAGGACCTTGCAGTTTATGTAGCAGCATTGGAAGAATGTCTCCCACGGATCCCACCCAACAGTTTTTCAAATGTAATATACCGAACAACTGCAACTTATTTTACTTCCATTTTTTCACTAATAAGTAATATTTTTTGCTTACATATGGAACGTTTTAGGCACACGGACCGATTGAAATGCCAAATCCTCCTCCAGAGAAGTTGATCTTTGAGCCATTTATCGAGACGGATGAAATCATTGTCTCTTCTAAGTCCGCAGACGGGCTATTGTGGGAGGGAGAGAGCCGATGGGTGGAAATAACAGTTGGTGTAGTGGGGAAACGTGGTTGCATGCAGTCACTTTCTCCGAGCATTACTGTCAAGGAAGGTGGTGATATTTTATCACTGGAAGAGAAGTTTCAGGGTACGGATTTGGTTTGCCGGAGAAGTTTACTGATGAGGACATCAACAAGGCTCGACTTATATCATTTACCATGTGTTCATTCTCCTGAGGTAGCTTATAACATTATGATTTGTCTCTGTAGGTGGAACCGGCATTAATCTTACTCCTCCACCACCATCGATTGTCAGGTATGTTAGTTGTTGAAACATCGTCAAGTTCTTGTGCGAGCTCTGTCTGTGGCGTAGCTTTTCATAAACCCTTGTGTCTCTCTGCGTGCTGTTTGCTTTAGTGAGGAAGCATTGGAGAAATGTAAGCAGCGCATTGAGCTGGTAGCAAACACACTGGAGTTGGAGGGGTTTTCCAGAATTGATGCCTTTCTTAACGTTGACAGTGGAGAGGTACCCATTTCTAAACTGTGAAAAAAATAAAACAAATGATAAAGGAGCGAACTTTCATGACTGGTTGATATGAATTGATTGCAGGTGTTGGTTATAGAGGTGAACACTGTGCCTGGAATGACTCCTTCCACTGTATTGATTCATCAGGTAAGTTTATGATGAACATACCAAATTGACAATTTCTACACATCTGTATTTTTTCCTATGTAAATGCAAGTTGCAGAACCCTTCAAGATGCTCTGCTAACATTCGGCGTTGTGCTGTATCATATACGCATTTGCGTGGCAGGCATTGGCAGAGCAGCCTCCGGTGTACCCTCATCTGTTCTTCCGTAGGTTGCTCGATTTGGCATCCGATAGAACCATTTAGGTGCATTCAAATAGCTTCCTGGTGGACTTGGTTGGCCTACGGATGACAAAAGAGAAGGGACATTCGTGCGTGCCTTTTGTAGCCTAGTCGTGGCGATTTGTTGGATGTTTGTTGCATTTGGACCATCGTGATTTCCTGCAATAAAGTGTTGTTCATTTGTCAAAGCTTTTTTTTCCTTACCTCATTAAGAGGTCGTTTGCTTGTTGGATATGAAAAGTGAGGGTTTTGGCTCAAAAAAACCTTTGGATTTATGAAGGATTTGTACTATCGTGGATTTGAAGAGTCTATTGTTTGCATGATAGATTTGATGATATAATTATGATGGATTTGCTATAAATATAACTAGCCATCAAGGATTTACAAATCCCACCCCAATATGTGGGATTTAAAAGTCAGTGGGGTCCACGGATTTGGATCCAAAAAAAGGGAACAAATTAGTGAACCCCACGGATTTAACACCTGACAGCAAACAATGGACTTGGCTAAAATCCATCATGCTTGGGATTTGAGTCCCAAATCCATGACCCAAAGCCATCAAGCAAACGACCCATATGTCCTGCCTATTTGAGAGTTTATTGATTGGTAGCATTAGCATGCAATAGCAGAAATGTTTAGTTACCAATATTTTTTGGTTGCCTAAATAACAAGGGGGGAAAACGTTGATGAGTGAGCATGGGCTGGGCCGAGATGTATCCGGGTTGTGTCTTGCTATTTGCTCATCTGTCAAGTATGGGCCTGATTCAGATTAAGAAAAGTTGGACTAGGCTTATTGGAACTGATCCCCAGATTTGTTTATTCGAGTTGATTTGGCAGGCACCCACGAGACAAAAGGGTAAAACTGAAAGGCGCAAAAAGAAAGAAAGTGACTCCTGCCAATCAAGAGTCTAAAGCAAGATCTAGAAGGTGTTAAAATTTGAATGAACTATCGCCGACGATACGGTCTGACCCTTGTTCTTCTCGACCCTCCAACATTGCGAAGAAACAACCAAAAGGCTAGCCATGGTCCTGGTCACGCCGCCTGACTCACTCCTACTGTCACTCCAGAAATTGGCCAAGTGTAACCACTTCCTAAAGCGTAGTATAGCGGGTTTGGGTTTTAATGTCAACCCGGGTCCTAGATTTGATGACTACTCAATGAATTCTTGTTATCTAGCAGTGAAACTTTAGTGCAAGTCCAAATTAACAAACAAACAAAGCAAGTTAAACGGTTCTTTTCAAGTCGAGAGAGGTCACCCGGATATGGTTCCCCCTAGACTGCAGTTAAGCCGGATTGCAATTTACCAAGTTCAGTTTTCATGAAAGTTATACTGCGGAAGGTTCTTAAACAGTCTGAAGTCTCGACTAAAGGTCTCCAGACCCTCTCAATCTGAGTCTCTAGCAGGCGACTAACCTCCACCGGAGTAAACAGATTGAGGCCCTAACGAACCAAACCTCCACTACCGAAGTAAATTCGGTACAGAATAATGAATTGGCTCCTCGACTAAAGTCGCCAATTCACTACCTTCAATTAAGGGTGCTCTATCAACCTAGGCAGATATTCTCTTTCTAGGTTAAAGCAGAAACAACAGGAATTTGATCAGGATTCAAGTCATTCAATCATTCAAGCCTCAATCGAATATAATCAAATCATAAAATCTGTACTTGGGTTCATACAATCAGACCTAACATACAAATCTAGGGTTCTCCATACCCAGATGAATGGGGAAACTACTCCATGGAGAGAGAAGCAAAAACAGATTCAGATGCGGAAATCATACTGTGAAGAATGAGTTTATGCTCCTGGTCATCGATCGGCACTTCTCCAAGCTCAAGCCAGGCTCCAATGGTGATGAAGATCAAGCTATGGCACTTGAGAACTCTGGTTCGTCGCTTTCTCTCTCTAGGAATCGCTCTGTCTCTCTAAAACTCGGAACCCCTTCTCTTTTGGCTCAAATCTGCCTAAAAAGGCTGACCCTGGGCAAAACACGGCCGAGGGCACGGCCGTGCTTTAATTTGGCCCGCCCGTGTTTTGCCCCGTGTTAAAAACACGCCTGCGTGCTTCGGCCAAAACACGGTCGTGCCTAAATATGGGCACGGCCGTGTTTTGATTTAGGCGCGCCCGTGTTTTTACTGCCGAAAGTGTGCCCCTATATTCAATGCTTTGTTTCTCCCTCGTCTGGACTCCGAATTAGTCGACGTTTGATCCCAGACGCTCGTAGTCTCGTCCTCTTTCTTTTCATGACAAGCTTGCATGATTTTTTGTCCATAAAGTTAGGTCGAAATCCATTCTTCTTTAGGTCATGCCCAAGTTTCTTCTCCCGAATCACCAATTGATCTCTGATTGACTTGAAACTTGCGCCTACGCTTCACTTTATGTGCTAGGGCCTGAAATGTGACAAAGGAACACAACCTAGCATAAAATAGGCCAAATAAGCGATAATGCAAGCTTAAACGATCAACAAACAAAGGGGAAAACATGTGCAAATATCGAGTCATCAAATCCCCCCACACTTAACTGTTTGCTTGGGTCAGACACAAGGTAGGCTCAAAACGTTTCAACCAAGCAGGCTTTAGGGCATATCATATCGGCACAAAACACGTGGATCATACTGGCTTTTGGTCATTAACACATGGACAACCTCAACGACAACCTAGACAACCACCACAGATGACATTCGAATTGCAGCAAAGTCGAGCAAAGGAAAAGTCTCCCTTCTGTTCCCCAACCAACATAGACTCGACTCAACCACTTATTCCAGACAGTCACTTCATGCATAAAACTCAAGATATCAGAATTAAGACCGAGCAATCTAGGTCCTCACCGGGATAAGGAGTATAAAGAATATGAGAAAATGAATCACTCACTCTCGACCAGTGGGGTCAGGACAATTTGATGCGAAAAATGCGCATGCTTATTCTCTCAATCCCTAACGTCTCTTCACCATGAATGCAGCCTCTAAATGCTAGAGTTCACATATGGGGTGTCACCACTAACTAAGCCGGAGGTCTTAGACACGGGTTCAAATGACTGGCTAGGGTCTTGGACATGGGGAAAAGGCCTTTTAGGTGGTGGAAGTATTCATAGCACAAGGTTCCACAATTCCAAACCCAACACAACTACAACCAATCAACCACTCACTTGCTTTCTGCCATTCCGCATTATTCAAATTATTTAGAGCACAAGATCGAAGGAGGTTACAACGACGTTAGTATTTCTAAGCCAGACTGCTAAGAAACACTACTTACCGGGCACTATTCAGATTTTTGGTGGTGGCTCTCTTTTGCTTTCATTCATTCACTTTTTCTTCTTTTTCTTTGTTTTTTTCATTTCTTGAGAGGACCACCACCTATTCACATTTTTCAAACACATGCCCACCTTTTTAAGAACTACCTCCAACCCTCACATTACATTTAGCAGAACGGCAGAGAACATGTAAAAACCACTCTGTGGAACCTTCTAAGAGATCCAAAAGGGTGATTTTTTTCATTGTAGACCGAAAGAAAGGATAACACACGGCTCAAAGGGGCTGACTAGGGGGTATGACACACCAGGACAGTCAATTTGGTCGTGGGCTAATCCTATGCCTCCATCATCTTAGCTATAGCTAATGACAACGTGAATGCTGCACATCATGGAAGAGGGAACTATCGCACAAGAAAGAAACGAGCAGGCTCAAATCTCACATGGCTACCTATATGCTCTATCTCTCATTCTGATTCCCTGAACTAGATGCATAAACGACTGTCAAGAGGCAGGACCGGCCTAGAGGGTGTGCTGGCCCGCCCTCCGGCACAGGGCCTCCGAATATTAGGGGCCTCCACTTAGATCCGTTAGTTACCGATCGAACATTGTAGATTGTATTTTTAGTATATGATTGATTGATTATGAGTATGATGACGATTTTAATAGATAATTTTAGCTATAATAACAATTAAAAATGATATCATGAAGACTACTAAAATAAGAATGATAATAGATAATTTTATGGGTAACGTCTATTTTTTATCCAGACCTTTTTCAGATTCTTTTATAATATCCAAACCTGTCGAAATACTAAAAATTAGCCGAATGTTAACTTTCGGTTAGCATTTTTGTTAGTAATATTGACTTGACAACATGATACTGACTTGGAAGAGACACATGAAGGTCAAGATTCCAAAATTTTAGTATTTTAACTAAGAAAAGAGTTACAGAATTATTAACAATAACGTAAAAATGACTAATATTTTGGTGCATTATGAAAGATTTGGCTAATTAATAAATTTTTAATAGGTTTGGATAATATAAAAGAATCTGAAAAAGGTTTGGATAAAAAATAGACATAAATGTATTTTAAACTATGTAGAAAGATATTACAGTCATTTTAGTTTTATTATAGTTAAAAGTCAATTTAGACCACGTCTCAATTTTGGAACAAGGCCCCCACGAAGCATTAGACAGCCCTGGGAATTTGGTTTTGGTTTCTTCGTCAAACTAGAAACGTGACCATTTATTTCTTTTGTAATCATTTTCTGAGACTATGCATTTTTTTTATAATTATTTAATAATTTTTATTTTTAATAAATTTGTGGAGAAAATTTTTAGGGCCACATTTTAAATTTTCGAACAGGGCCTCCGAATATCATGGGACGGCCCTGTCAAGAGGAAGTGATCAATTCAAGTCACAGTTGGTAAGCAAACAGTTGAAAAACTGAACCCCTACACAACTCTACTGCACATCTCAGTCATCATAATAGGCTGTCTTAGTTATACTCAAGTTGTCATGCATCAAGTCAAAAGCCATTCCATTCACCAATCACATCCATAGTGCCAATACGATCACACATCAAGCAAACAGCAGTACTTGGAGCCCTCAAATCTTGAAATTTGGACAGTGGACTAGGCTCCAAGCACACAAACAGCCAAACATTCACACGCATTCATAATCGAACATCCCCCCCACACTTAAGCACGACATTGTCCTCAATGGAGGAAAGATAAGAAGGGTAGAACGAAGTTACCGGTGTGCACGGACTGCATGAGACTGGACGGGGACCAGTCTGAGTGAAGCGGACTGGAGAGAGGACCAGTCAGGGACACAGGCACAGCTAAAGGGAACAGAAGAACTCCAACACAATACGTTAGGTCCAATGGTCAGCCCAATATTACATTATCCAAAACAAAAGAAAACAAACCAAAAACAAACCAGTTCGCAATCCGACCGAAACAAAAGAACTAAACGAAAACCGTGGTGGGGTTGCCTCCCCACAAGCGCTTCTTTACCGTCATTTAGCTGGACGCCCATGGTGGATACTCAGCGGGGTGCAGGAACAGGTGCCTCCAAGAGCGAATCCACATCGCTCTTGAGGTACAGCTTCAGATGGTGGCCATGCACCCGACGGGTACAACCACCAGCATTGGTCAGCTCGACCTGGCCATTCGGCAAAATGAAGGCGAGTGAGTACGCGAATGGTCAGGGTGATTGTGATGCAGGAGGTGGGACCAGCTCATAGAGGTCTCCACCTTTCTTCCGAGTGGGCTTAGGCACCTGCTGCTTCGGCCGCCACTCCTCCTTG